TTGTGCATGCCATCACAACCTCTTCAAGGTCATAAGTCAATCTGCCCTGCTGTGTCTAGAAGACATCCTTTCTTTATAGTCATTCACTGCCTCTGGCCTTATAACTTTTCTGACCCCCCTTCTACAAGGATCTCTGAGTTTTGGGTCTGATAAAAATGACCTTCACAACTTTAGAGTTATGGCTATTTTATTGGGACACGGCTGTTTTAAGGGTTTTAATACAATGCACTGCACATTGCTTGGATTCCCTTTCTTATCTTCTTGTGAATTTAAATTTATCCCACAAGGGTTTACTTATACCAGAAAATGGAATTGACTGTTCATCTTGGAAAGCGATTTACTTAAGAGATAGAAGCTGAATTACCAGTGGCATTCTAAGCAGATGGTGAACCTCTTCTTAAGTGAATAGATAAAGGTTGAGTTATAGAAATAACTGAACATCAAAATGCATATAGCTTACTTCACATAGTGTTTGGGAAGTCCTAAGTTTCTAACCCCAAGGCACACTATGGTCAGTATTATGCCTCATGGAGTATGCACCTGGAAATTAGAACCATTTCTCTGGTGGATTTCTACTCATTTCTGGGTGCATTCGTTTAATGATTCTTTCAAGTAAGCTAAAACTTTGAAATAGGATCACACATAAAACTTATGAGAATTTAAATGCTGTTTAAACACATACGTTTTAAATACTGGAACGTCATATTGAATAATACGTGGAATAAATGTGTTTACCTTGGTATTGAAGATCCACATATCTTTTACATATCTAGTTTTACACTGAAAATAACCACTGTTTTCATATCCAAGCAATTCAATGAAGTTAATTAAGGCCAAGCGACCATGTCATGTTACCACACAGAAAAGACCACGATGGAACCCAAGCTTATCGACTACTGAGAGCAGGAGAATCCATCAAGTGCTAAGCTCACAGGTAGCTGCTGCAAGCACAGTGAGATTGTGGCCTGTGGGGAATAAGTCACAGTGGAGTGAGCCAGTTAAATGAATGGCAGATTGGCTGTCACTGCTCCCCTTCTTCCTGCTTCCAGGGACTTTTATCCATAGACATTCGAATTCATCACAGAGCCAGTTCCACAAAAATGTTTGTGAAACTGTTCTGTTTGGTTCTAGACATCCTTCATTTCTAAAGCACCTGGGCCACATAAGGGTTTATTGAAATACAGACACACACACACACACACACACACACACACACACACACACACACACACACACATTCTATATATTGGAGCATCTTACAGTGAATGTATAGTGAATATCTACTGTGTCTAGTTTTAAAAGGTTGTATTTGTAGAATGTCCTGATATAACGTCTCAACTCCAAAATTTCAGTTTTTAAGCAAACCGAAAATATCCTTGAATGTCCCTAAACGGTAGGCCCTAGGGACTTTTCAGATACCCGCCCACAGTATTCTCTTGCTCTTCTTGGCCTTTGGGCTGTCTGTTCTGCTTAGAGGAAGCTGACATCTATTTAAAAGTAAGGCAAGAAATACATGGGTATTACTCGTATAAAAAATCATTCACTTTTTTCTGAGTGCATGCATAGTATGAAATCTGAAGTTAAAAATGAGATTGATAGAATGTTATCTCACATCATATTGCTAGGCTGTGTCTCTTCTAACTCTCCATACATGAAGCGTAAGTGACCATGTATGGGCATATACATTATTTGTATGTATACAATGGTATAGGAAGCTATCTTGCTACAGCTAGAAAAAGAGAGAACAAATGTTATAGAGAAACCAATGCCTTCAAGATCTCATGGAAGGGGGAACACAACAAATACTAAAATCTGATGTGAAGATATCAGAACAAAGGAAGAGGAAACTAAGTGACCCACTTACTCATGAGTGTCACAGAATAAATGGAAATACCCCAGGCCTCCTGTGTAACAGAACACAAATCAATTCATATCTCATATTGCTTGTAAAGATTTATTTGCTCGGCACACTGGACTTAAGCTCTTACTGATGATTGGATGATGCAACTTCTGTTTGTGTTATTGGCACAGAATGAAGCATATATTTGGATACATCCTCTTCTTTTGCTGCAATTTTGCTTCTGATGTTTGGCTTAATAAGTTCTTCTGAATGCATTATTCTGACATTGCAGAAAGCTGTGACTGGTATTCTACAATGCTTTGATTTAGTATTCTAATCTATAGTAACAGTGGCAGAGCCTGTTGACATTATGAACATTATCTGGGCTTTCTTTTTTTAAAATAAATATTGAGTTCCCAATACCTAATGTAGTCCCAAAAGCAAATAGCTGAATCATTTGGTTGAAAGACAAGGGTCAATTTTCCTGTAACTATCCCATCCATTGGCAACATGACTCTTAGATGATAAACCTTCCTCAGGCAACTCTTCCACTCACCTGCTTTTTTGCTCACATTTTGCTGTTTTTGAAAACAAAGAATGTATCTATGAATATATGAGAGAGAGAGAGAGAGATAGAGAGAGAGAGGGTGAGAGAGAGAGAGAGAGAGAGAGAGAGAGAGAGAGAGAGAGAGAGAGAGAGGCAGACAGTCTAGGTATTATTGTGTATGCTGCCCTGAATACAAAATCAGAGGACAAGGGTTGCTATGTAATTTCCTTCCCATGCAACAGAAAACTGATTTACTTAATTGTTTGTGCTTAAGGGCAATGCCATTTTGTATGGCTTACTGTTTTATGCTGATGTGAGAATATTAAATTTCTAATAGTACAAGTCAATAAAAAAAATCATAGGCCATGAACTTCCATGTTGTGGAAGGAACAAAAGTGGTAAGTGATTGCATTAATTTATAAAATTTCACGTTTCAGACACTTAACTCTACCCAGAGATGACTTTATGTCCTCTGCACAAACCATTCGTGCTGTGCCAATCAGGGGAGTTAAATTACATTATCAACTTGAATGTTCTTAACTCTGAGTTCATCTTGCACAAGTAACAGCTATCCAGTTGAGCCTTTAAGCATTTCTGTACATTACCATAAAACTGCTTTGGATTTGGAATGTCTCAATGCATATTTATTTAGCATTAACTAACACAGAAGGTCTTGTATTGGATAAAATATTGCAACAGATTACGATCCAGATGATAAATCACAAACAATTTTATGACATAGCAGAATTAACTGTTTCAATTTGAATCCTTCTTTAAGAATTTAAACCAGGAGAACTTGCTTAGAGAATTCTTTTCTAAACTGGATAATGGGTCATTATGAAAGTAACTAGAGGTATTTATTCTTCTCAAGACTCTTCACAACCTTAGGCATTATATCAAGGGACTCAGAATGCAGGAGAGTGCTAATTTGAGAATGTCAGCACATATTTTTCCTGTTGCTGTGGAAGACATGGGTGATCATTTTTAAGTGGGCATTTGAAGGAATGAGAAAAGGAATGCTGAGTGCTTGTAGCAATTGAAAACATCCTCAAAGCCTTGAAACAGGGAGAACAATTAGGAAAGTAGTCCTTCTCCAACTAAATAAAGCCAGATGATGGAAAACAGAAATGGTACTCAATCTAGTCTTACTTGTGCCTTGTTATCTAACATTACATTTAATTATTTTTCTTCTATATGCTTTATTTTCTTAGGGTTGCCATAATAACAACAAAAACATCAACAGTGGCTTAAAGAGACATATGTCCTCTTGCAATTCTGTGGGCCACAAGTCTTCAATCAAGATCGCAGACAGGACCATGTTCCCTTCAGAATCCTTAGGGGTTGATGTCTTCTGATCTCTTCCAGCTCCTGGGGTCCCAGGTATCCAATGCTTTTTAGGCGCATCACTGTTTCCACTATCACATGACATTTACTTCTTCTTGTCTGTCTTTTCATGGTGTTCTGGTCTTTGTGTATCCCTATCCAAACTGCACTGTTTTTGTAAGATCATCAATTCTATTAAATGAAGCCCCATTTCACTCCAAGGTGACCTCATCTTAATTTAATGAATAGTTCTGCTACGGTCCTAGTTCCAGACAAGGTTGTGTTCTAAAGTACTGGGCTCTAAGATTTATACAGACTTTTTTGGGAGACAGAGTTTAGTCACAAGAAGAATCATCTGAAGTAGCAGAGAAGCCTGAAACATAATACGGCTTTGTACCCTATGTATGTATTTAACAAGAAACTTTTGTCAAAGAAATATCATTGAGTTGGCCATTGTGTGGTTGTCTACTTTAGTGATGCCTAAACAGTAAGTTTATAAATATAAGGCTCAGATTTGACATCTTTCCAAATAGAATGACCCTCTTCAGGGTCAATGGGCCCTAGAAATCATCAACAAGCCTGGCATTGTTCAACTGAGCTCACAGATATCCATCCAACTACGAGTCTTTGATTAGCCTTTCAATTCAGTATGAACCCACTTCTAAGTCATGCTTCAATTATTAACTTTTCCTTGAAATTCATACTTTCTCTTGGACCTATCACAAATGAGACAGAAAGGAAGAGGATATCTGAGAGCATTTGCATTGTAGAGACAAATAGATGAGCTCAGGCCTTGAAGCTCCCCTACCCATTCTCTCCATGACTCAGAGAATATTACACTTTTCAAATAGTGAGTTTGTATACCTGTGCACTGAAGAGCCTTATAGCTAATGTCCAATGAATCTGCAAAGATTGCTTTTGGTTATGCATTTACTATGGCATCTAGATGAACTACTTAGTAACACAAAGCTACCTCCCATTGCATCACAAATTGGCTATTTGAAAATAAAACACTCGCATGGCATACCAACCACAAAAAATATTATGAGGAATAACATTAAATATAAATGGAGAATGAACTAATTCTAATTGTAGTAATAGGTTGAAGGAAATGTTCTTAATTTCTAGTGGTTAACAAAAATGAACTTAGACCAGACTAGAATCCAGTAGCCAAATTCACCAACTTGACAAGCATTTCTATGTGTTGTCTGAGTACTGGATATTTTTTAAGAGAAAATTTATCATAGTCCCATATAATAAAAAGAATATCAGAAAAGTAATATGACTTACCCCACCAACTTTCTCAAAGTGGGATCCATCTTTCTTAAAGTCTGTAAGGGCTCCATTGAAATACCAGGCAAACATAATGTCTAACAGGGGGTCGTGTTGCACCTGGCAGGGTAAAATGACGCTCTCACCAACAGCAACATCCATGTTAGAAGGAGCCAAAATTATTCTCGTTGGTTCTATTGGGTGGACAAATTATGAATAAACAAAATTTTAATGGTGATGAAAGCAATTTTTATAGGCAGATTGTTCATCTGGGTTAGAATGTTTAGGCTTGTATATGCATGAGTATACATACACCTATGTGATTAAAAGTCTTCAAGATTAAAGTGGCATCTTCATGGAAAATTATACTATATTTTACTGGTCTCACAAATTTTTCTCAAGAGAATTAAGATATAGGAGTTTGTAGAAGATATATGTTCAGAGCAGAAACTCACCTGCAAACAACTTACTCTAATGACAAAATCAATTCACCTTAGCTTCCTAGTTTTGTGAAATACAAGGGTAGGAACAGGAATCCCCCTGTTCTCACAAATCTTCAATGAGTAGCAAATGTATTCAAACCAAAATGCAAATAAGCTCAAACTGTCCTTGTTTACTGATTTGGAAAACGAGTCATGAGAGGAACACCATGCCAAGACACTGGCTTATGGTTGATTTTCTTCAGTGCTAATGTCTACCTGCACATGTTCTCCTGTTACAATCAGATACCTTCCATTGATAATGAATTCAACTTCTCCCAGCCCTACCTTCCCACTGTTTCTTTTAGCATTTTACTCGGGGACAACAGAACTCATCAAAGAACTGTTTGTATATAGAGAGTAAACTAACTTAGGATATAACCTCCTCAACCCAGTCTAGTCAGGCCTTTGGTCCCTCATCTGACCTAAACCATCAGGGTCCCCAGGAAACACAGTGCCTTAATATCCAGTGGTAAAAATTTGGTCTTTTATACCTTGACTTCTCATCTTTCTCCCCTCTGCTTCTCTTGGTCTCTTTCATAGCACATTCTCTTAGTCTCTTCATAATGTGCCAGTTAGTCAGCTTTTTTCCCATCTCCTCTTAGGAGGACTCCTTGGTTCTTGAATGTCTTTACATAAAATGTGTTAAGCTCTGTCATTTTTAAAAATTGTAAATTATTAACATATTAATTGTACAAATCACTGGGATCCACCTCTTGGCTTCAGGTATCCATCTTAATATAAACAACCGCTGGGTCAGAATCTCCTCTTTAATCTCTCTCAAGCCTAAACTCTTATACTCAATGACCTACTCTGCCTACAGTTCCTTCCTTCCTTTCTCCTTCTCCCTTTCCCCTTTCTTTTCCTCACTTTCTTTCTCTTCCTCTTCCAGTGCTGGCAGTCAGTCCCAGAACCTCATGTGTGCTAAGCACTCTGTCAATGAGCTTTGCCTTTAGTCTTCACCATGAAGCCATTCTGGACTCCTTTCTCTTCATGAACCTTCCATCTTGGATAGCACTTCCTGCTGAGCCTATGCCCAACACACAGAGCAACTGGTCCAGCTCCTAGACTCCTGCAGAACCATCCCTTTGGTTACTATGGGTTATTGTCACCTCCTGCTGCTGTCATGGTAATGTCATCTGATCTCTTACAGCTTCTTACCTTGATCCTTTCAGTATCTTCACAAGAGAGCAGTTGTTTGAAAAACACACTTCTGTGATACCATTTCTCTGAAGGAAACATTACATTGGCTTCTCTTTTCAAATCAGACTGAAAACAGAAGTCTTAGCAAGTCCAAAACATGTCTACATAACTGCTCCTAAGAAATATGTTAACACTTCCATTTCCCTGAAATCTGTGCCCCATGTCTCATCTGGCCAACTGGAGGTATCCTGTTTTGCCTCCAACTTACCCAATTTTCCCACAGTTATCTTTACTTTCTCAATTTATTGCACTTTTCTTCTTTTTAATAGTCTGTTTTTTTTCTTACTACTCTATGCTCCTTCCTGTGCTAGGATGTAAGGTTCCCAGGGCTATATCTTTGCTGATATTCCCATTGACATACCTCAAGCACCCATCTTATAAAATGCTCAACTTTTTCTTGAAAGGCTAAAAGAACAAAATATATCCCCAACTTTAAGCAAATCTCCTTAACATCAAAGGTTATTTCATGAGCTTGAACTTCTCTAGAAAAGACCAGTTATAATGAAACAGGAGCACTCAACAGAACAAAGCAACTATAATCATAATATTACACTTGTACCTCTTATGGCCCAGGTTGCCAGCAGAGTTGCTACAGTGTCCTGTGCTGTGACAAATAAAAGTCTAGGTATCATACCTGTTCACTTGAACAAACATGGGTTCTGATTTCACAGTACATTATGCAGTGTAAAAAACGTATGATGATCAATGTCTTCATTTTTAAATAAATATTGTTGGAGAACTCTGACATTAACACAATGTATTTTGATCAAATCCATTCACATTCCCTCTCCTCAAATTCCTCCTACACCTACCTCTCGACCCATTTTCTTCCTTAACTTAATGCGCACCCTTTAAACCCACTGAGTCTACCTAGTATTGCCAGTACATGCATATGTTTATATTTTCCTCTAGTGAAATACAGTTTACCCTTGCAAAAAGTAATCTCTAAGAAAAGCACTCACCTGTCACAACCAAGTGTGTTGTGCCATTTGCTTTCCCAAACTGGTTTTCTGCTGTGCAGGTGTAGATTCCAGCATCAGCCTTAGTTACATTCAGAATTTTGAGTCCTCCATCATTTAACAAGGAAATCCTAAAGTAAACAGAAATCAGAACACCAAATGTGCAATCGTCACTCTTTGCATATAAATGGTGTGTTTCTTTCATAATTCAATGTTTAAAGTAGTAATTTAGGGTATAGTCCACCAGTTCCTAATTTTTGTGAATTGAGAAAATGAAAAGAGATTCACACACACATACACACACACACTCACACACACATACACACACACACACACACACACACACACACACACACACACACTCAGAGTCAAACAAGAAAAGATATTCTACCAATTTGAACTTCACTTGATGTTTTTATTCCTCTTTGGTTTAATGCATTACTATTTCACATATAATCATAGGAATGTATTTGTTGAATAAGTATGATATGTTTTTCAAAATATATATTGTGGTCAGTTACTCATAGGTTAACCTTATAAATTTAGAGAAAATAAAAGGTAGACATGATATCCCTTTTCCCTTAAATTTAAATTTTCCATAAATTTAAACCATTTGTCTTTTGTTATGAACTAGAATAGTCACATTTACAAATTAGTGTGTGTGTGTGTGTGTGTGTGTGTGTGTGTGTGTTTGTGTGTGGTCATCTGTGAGCTACTGAAAGAATTTCAGTAACACCAGGGGTTATAACTCATGGATTCTGTGCTGCAACTTGTATTCTTAAAGATGTAGCATATAACTGTCTCGTTAAAGAAATTGAAATGAATGTCTTACATGTAATGTGCTGGGATTAGTGTGAACAAGACAATAACTTGGTGCTCCTTTAGGAATATTAATCTTGAAAGACAAAAACAATAAAAGACTAAGAAAATGAGGAAAGTATAGGGTTCAGAGAAGCACTTTGAAGAAGAAAGAGAGGGTGATATGAAGGGGGGCAATTGCTTTAGGTAGCATTTCTAAGAGAGCGAGCTCATTTGTGCTGGAAGGAGGAATGAGACAGCATAACACCTCATTTGTCTGATCTCTATATCTTTAATGCACAACATGTCTACTCATAATTACAATCCCTCTTTCTAAATGTCTAAAACCATTACCACACCTTGCATTTCATACTTAAATGTTTTTTATCTTTCATGGTTCATATCTTTAAGCATGTGTGTTGAATCCGTGGAAACAAAAAATAAACTTTTTCAAAGGTTTGCAGCCCAGTGTCAGCATGGTACCATATGCAAATCTGTCAACAAATGGTATAATTTCAGACCTATTCAGCAGAGCATGCAGGAGAGATGGTTGAGGACATTAAAGTGGTAATTCTTAACCCAATCTTTAAATGCTATTATACACACTACATGCACATATTATGTATACATACATAATGTCATTATGTACACAAGGATAAATAATGTTACTTATTGGTATTTATTGGGTATTGGTTGTAGGACACCCCTGGAGGATATCAAGTCTCTTATATACAAAGGTATACAATCTGTATAACATTTATATTCAATTTATTTTTAGACTTCTTAAAGTTAAGACAACGTAAGTATGATAGGAATAAATGTATTCACTGCCAAGGGAATAAAGAGAAAATGAAGTTTGCACATATCCAGTACAGTCTTGGTCAGAGAAGCTTCTTACTGTGATCATCAATGCATAGAGACTCATTACTGTTCAAACTGCCGAGAAGAAGCAACTGTGAGTGCTCAGCTGTAGATGGAACATCTATTTTTCAAACCCACACCACACCTTCCAGGCCCTAGGCTCAAGAAACATGGAAAAAGAAGAGAAATGAAGAATTTTAGGGCCGCAGGATTGGGAAGAAGGGTGGTAAATGTTGTCCTCTAGACATGGCATGGCTGTTGTACACATGAACTCAGCAGCTGTGGTTACCTATACAATATTTAGTTAAACGTTCTAGTTGGAGGAGGGAAGGACTCCTAAGGCCCTAACCCTGTCTAAGGAGTTCCTGGCAGTTGATGATTGCTAGAGGAGGGAAAATCACCACACTTCAGGAGTGTGGCCAATGCTGGGTTCACCAGACCCCAGTGGATGATCACATGCTCATGTGCATATGGGAGACACTAACTGGATATAGTGCATTAAAAATAAAAGAACAGAGAGCTGGAATGGTTAATGACACTTGGTGCTCTTTCAAGGACATAGATTTGGTTAGCAGCATCCATACAGTTGTAGCTCACACCAATCCCTAAATTGAGTTCTCTTTAGATATCCTCTTCTTACCTCGAAGAGTACCAGGTATGTACATGGTACATATACATATGTTCAGACAATACACTCACAATCAAAACATAAAATGAATTAAAAATTAAAAACAATTATAAATAAGATCACATTAAATTGATGAAAAAGATGTGATGGGGATCCTAGGGGAAGTTGGAGGAGGGAGATGAGGGGAATGAGGGGGATGAGGGGGAATGAGGAGGATGAGGGAATGAGGGGTGTATTTGATCAAAGTACATTGTATACACATGCATGGAATTTATAAATGGTAAATTGAAAAAAAAAGCTGCTGCAGTTTCTTTTTCAAAATTACTATTATTTTACTTTATTTGTATGGGTGTTTTGATTGCATGTATGTCTGTGAATAACATGCATGCCTAGTGCCCTTAGAAGATAGAAGAGGGTTATCAGAAACTCTGGAACTGGAGTTATGGTTGGTTGTGAGCTGACACATGAGTTCTAGGAATTGAACCTGAGTACTCTGTAAAAGCAACCAATGCTCTCAACTAATGAGCCATCTTTACAGCCACATCAGTTTCTTTTAATGTACTGATTTGGAGGTGATTGAATCCATGGATGCAAAGCTTGTTTATCTGGAGTACCAATAGTTTTTTGTTACACACATACTAATATACATATATACAAATATACATGTATCCACATACACACATATATGTATGACATTGTTTTGTTTTTTGTTATATATATATACATATATATATATACATATATATATATATATATATATGTATATATATATGCATAACAGAAGATAAATGTGTTGTCTTGAAAGAAAAGGGCCACCAAAGGAAGTGGTTCTATTAGGAGGCATGGCTTTGTTGGAGTAGGTATGGCCTTGTTAGAGGAAGTGTGTCACTGTGGAGGCAGACTTTGAGGTCTTATATATGCTCAAGATACTGTTCATTGTCTTAGTTCACTTCCTGTTGCCTGGGCAAGATGAAGAACTCTCAGCTAACTCTCCAGCACCATGTCTGCCTGCATGCCACCATGAATAATGGACTGAACCTCCAAACTGTAAGCTATCCAGTTAAATGTTTTCCTTTATAACAGTTGCTGTGGTCATAGTGTCTTTTCACAGCAATTAAAACCCTAATAAGACAATAGGATAAAGAATTTAGAAATGACTTAGCTGGGTTAAGAAAAGAAATTAGGGCAGAAATCAACAGAAATGGAAAAAATTGGGATGAAGGAAAGAAGGGACTGAGAACTGGAAAAAAAGAGAGTAAAAATTCCTACAGAGAAAAGACTCAGAAGAGGGAAGAGAACTCAGCTAAGGGCACTATCCCCAATTACTCTGATTGCTAATCCTTTCAGTAAAAAAAATGGGGCTAGGGCATTGCTCCAACTGATTTTAATTATTGTTGCTACTAAAAAAAGGAAGTGAAGGTTTGCTATTTCTAACATATAAAGGCAAGACACTGGTCAAAGGCATCCAAAGCTCATGAAGGCATTTGGATGAGGTCAAATGCAAATGCTCTGAGTTCTAGGATGGAGCTAGAAGGAGAGGCTCAAGGTAATTGGAACCTACCTCTTTGGAAATTAATCTTAAAACAGAGCAAAAGTGTCTCATCAATTTGATAAACATTGAGCTAAAGTTTAGAGGTTCTGGTTTTGGTACCAAGATTAAGAGATAATTCATTTTAATTATTGTCCCATCCTATGAATTTGCACACTTTAATGCCAATGTACAGACTACCCAGACATCAAGAAATCTTTTGTGTTTGCCTAGTATGTGTTGCAGCTGTTGTTGGAGTCTCAACTCCCTCCATGAAAAAATAATAGGGATGAAACAACATAAGTGAAGAATTCCTACACTGCATTATGCGCAGTAACATTAATTGAGCAAAGACATCTGCATGGCCATGGTGAAATGAAGGAGAACTTCAGAGGCAAGGCCTAAGGTCTCAGGAACCATACAAGGATCTCCAAAACAAACACATTGACTCTCACAGAATGCAAACTCCGTGTGCATCATAAAATTTTAAGCTAATTGGATATTTCTTTCCTAAATTGGTTCTTCTAGTAAGTTCTAACAGGCTCACAGGGCATTTTGCACAACATAAAAATAAACAATACTCAGTAAATGGATGGAGTAATTGTTTCTCAACAGAAAACCTTCAATAACCCAGGCTTCCCTACAGAGACTCGAAGTGAAAATTTTATACCACTTCACTATAAACGAAATTACTTTCTTTGCTTTCTGGGAACAGATTTTTCTGTAAATGGCTAGAACTGAAAATGTATATATCAATGAATTACACTGGTCTTAGCACAAGAAGCTAAACAAAGATGGATGAGATTTACATTCAGAAATGTGGTACTCCAGTTTGCTTTGAGAAATGTGTGACTTAAATGATTATGGCATTTGAACTTCTTGATTAGTTCTATAGCACACCTTTATGTGTATGTTTTATTGCCCTTTACTTTTATAGTAAGAGGTTAATTATTTCAGTTAACTTTCAGCAGTCTGTGCTTAGTTTGGGGTAAGGCAATGTGATTGCTCTACACTGTTCTACTGGCCCATGCTATGATTCAGGGATGCCATTGGATTTATGACTTAAAAAAAAAAAGTGAAACTATTTTCTCAAAAGGTATACTGTTGTCCAGGCAACACTGACCTGCACTTTATGATATCATTTAAAGATCCATAATAGCACACTATGTTTTCAAATAGGAAAAATATGGAGCCTCTGCACACAAAGCAGAATTTCTGAAAAGATTGCTCTTCCCTGGCCTACGATCTGAATATTACAGTAATTTATTCAACTTGAGTTTTAACAAACACACTGCAACTGAACATTTTGTCAGGAA